ATTTTTGAAACCGAGTATTTCTTTCATAAAATTTTCATAAATGATATTTGCAAAAGTAATAGTACGTTGTTCAGATCTATTTGAGGGTTAGCATTTTGAATTGAGGGCAAGTAATAATTTTGTGATGGCGTTTTGTGATTGCCATATACTGGGAAGTAGGGATCTTAAGGGTGACCTATTCATGTATTGTAGGGCATACCCTGCAATATTAATGGCAGGCACCAATTTCTCCCACCACCTTTCATACATCAACATCTCCTCACTATTATGTCCATGTATCCATTACAATTGCTCTCATTTAAGGTTGACCACTTTTTTTTTTTTTAAATAACTACTCAGGCTTGTCGTCACTCTTAGCGTGCAGTAGGTGTGTGATAAGCTCAGTTTAGGTAGTTAAATACCAGTTGCTATTTTTTTTTTTTTTTTTTTTACTTTCGTTTATATAATATATAGTAAGTGTACATTGCACAATAATTATTTAATAGATTAGGTAATTAGCTAGGTAAAGGGTTCAAGACTTCAAGAGTTATTAAGAAGCCAAAGGCCTATTCTCAAAAAAAAAAAAAAAAAAAAGACGATCAAAGAATTTATGATCGAGCGGCATAGCTGTGGATCCTCAAATGAGAACGAAGTCTCAGGTTTGAATCTCTTTGTGAGGGCACAAAGGAAAAAAAAAATAGCCTATAAAGTTTAGTCAACTCAAGTAATTTAGAGCATAGAGCACATCCCAACAATGGCACATATGAAGTTTTTTTTTTCTTTTGATTTTTTTTTTTTTTAGCTTGTGGAAGAAAAAGAGTGCAGGAGACACGAGAGAGGGGATGTTACAAAAATTAGAGCTTTTTGTGAGCCTCACATGTTAAAAAGACGAAAAAAAAAAAAAAAAAAGAGAGAATAATCTAATATGCGTCATGCACTCATGCGCACCAGCATGTATGCCCAATGGACGTGTGTAATCACATTAGAGTGGCTGCCAGAAGACAGTCACCCTCTTAACTTTTTATTTATTGTATTTTTAACACTTTCTCTTTTTTTTTTTTATTAGAATAAAAAAATTTCGATTAAATCTGCAACTGTTAGACGTTGCTCCTAGGGACCAAGAACTAACTATTGTGGATTGTTACCAAACTTGGGAGACTTTGATTAGTTCCATATCTTATTTGAATTAGAATCCTCAGACAATAAATATAAAATGTATTACTCTCAAAAAAAAAAAAAAAAAAAAAAAAAAAAAAAAAAAAAAAAAAAAGACCTCTTAAACATAATGTCAGTGGTCCTTATCAAAACCTTGTCACCATATGGGTTGTTACTGGAGATTAAGTAAAATTTGGTTGTCACCTCTTAGACTTGGTCTTTGTTTTGCTTGTTCAGTAACAGAAGAAGATGATTGAAGCTTAGGGATATATCAATTGTGCCAGCCCATTCAATTTCGGTACTACCAGGTTTTCAAGACTTATTAGTTTGAACTACAATCCCGTTATGCTGTGGACTCGTGCCCAGCGTGCATCATGGGCACAGTAACGGTACTGTCAGTGGCACCGTTATCTTCCCTTTTTTTCTTTTTTCTTTTTTTTTAAAAAAAAATTTAGACGGCTTCTTTATAGGAGTATATATTCACAGCTCTGTGTTCATAATTTCATAACTGTACATTCATAATTCCGTAACTGTACATTCATAATTCAATAACTGTAAATTCATAATTTTCGAAGCTCTATGTTCATAATGTCAGGGTTCTGTGTTCATAATTTCATAACTGTACATTCATAATTTCATAACTGTACATTCATAATTCCATAACTGTACATTCATAATTCCATAACTGTACATTCATAATTCTATAACTGTACATTCATAATTCCATACTGTATATTCATAATTCCATACTGTACATTCATAATTTTCGAAGCTCTATGTTCATAATTGTATGTTCATAATTCCATAACTGTACATTCATAATTCTATAACTGTACATTCATAATGTCATAACTGTACATTCATAATTTCATAACGAATACGCTGTTAACGCCGTTAACGGCCTTTCGAACAATTTTTTTTTTTAGTTAGGACAACGTCGTTTTCAGGGAAAACGACGCCGTTTTAGCAAGGTGCGCACGTGCACATAGCATAATTTGTCGTTTGAACTAAATTTTTTTTTTTTTTGATTGGGTTAAAAATTTTTAGCCTTAACCCTAAAAGCACAGGTTGTCGAGTTTATTGGGCGGGCTCAACTAAAACTTTTGACATTTTAAAATTAACATTCTAAATTTTCAATTTTAATCAATCATTGTGTTGTGCAACCGTGTGCACCATGCATGGTGCACACGATTGCGAACGACGCCGTTTCACTTTGGTGGAGTAACGGTGCTGTTAGTGGCACCGTTTAACTCCACCAATCAGTTTTTTTTTTAACTCCACCAATATGAATATATAGTTCATTCATTCTGAATACACAGTATCAGTAACCGGTGTTTTTAGATATATAGTTCACTAATTCTAGATATATAGTTCACTAATTTTGGATATATAGTTAATTAATTATGAATATGTAGTTCATTAATTCTGGATGTGGATATACAGGGACGGAGCCAGAAATTCGGTTGAGGGGGGGCGAAGAAGTAGGTACGCATTCAGAAATTTTTTTCAGTAAAGGTAAAACATTAAAACAAAAGAGGTAATTAAAAAAAAAACACATCTCATTATTAATATAAAAGAATGTTATATATATATATTATATATATATATATATATGTGTGTGTGTATAAAACTATTGAAGCCAACTATAAAAATATGTTACTTCCAAAAGTTGAACTCTTACCCCTTTATCATAACTCAATATATACTTAACCAACTCATCTAAATCACCTCTTATTGATATTTATAATAGTTTTACTTTACTAATACTAACACATATACTATATATACATACAAAAATTATATATGGGGTGAGGGGGGGCAGCAGTCCCCTGTCCCCCTTTGGCTCCGTCCCTGTGGATATATAGTTCACTAATTCTGGATATATAGTTAACTAATTCTGGATATATAGTTCATTAAGTATTGATATATAGTTCATTAATTCTGGATATATAGTTCACTAATTCTGAATTTATAGTTCATTAATTTTGAATATATAGTTTATTCATTCTGAATACACAGACGCAGCGAACTGCCATAAGCCAACACGGAGTACTAGTAACCGGTGTGTATATATAGTTCACTAATTCTGGATATATAGTTCACTAATTCTGGATATATAATTCATTAATTCTGGATATATAGTTCAAATTTGCACAGCATAACGCCATTAACGACAATCGACAATGAATTTATTTTTAAAGTCGATCAGCGTCATTTTTAACAAAATGATGCCGTTTTGCAACCGTATGGTGCACACGGTTGCACGACATAATTTGCAAATTTTAATATACTAGTGCATTTATACTAATAATATAAACTTATACATCATTCAATCAATACAAACCTCCATTTTTAAATTCTAACTAAAAATAATTAATATATTTACACTATAATATAATAATTGTAATATTTTTTTTAAAAAAAAAATTCATTATTTATTTTCATACAAATTAAAATATTTATTTTGTAATAAATTTATTAAAATGTTATTTACAAATTTAATAAAAATGATTGAAGATGAACTTATATATAATTTCTCTGTATATTTTGTTCTAGATCACTTGTAAAACAAAAAATAGCTTTAAATGGCTTGATATAGCTCACAAAATTTTGAGCTAGTCCATTCCAGTCATTGGATTTATTAGTTTTGGACTGATTTTTTTATCGAGTTAAAATTTTTTAGCCCTAACTTTAAAATTTTTGAGATTTATCGGTCAACTCATCGGTTTCAGTCTAAAATTGATATCCCTCGAAGCCTATCCAATGCCAACAACATTTCTTGAATTAACATTTCTATTTACAAATTTTCACTGCCTGTATTTTCTTAGTTTTCATTTTGTCATTACAAAATCATAAAATGTATTCATTAGCAATTGCTTTTCAATTCAAGAAAACCACAGAACATGCCCATTTTTCAGTTTTGTTTTTAACCCAAATAAAAATAAATCACATCATCACGGCAAATTATGTTGTAGACTCGTGTCCACTACTGTCCACTATGCATTGTGGACACGAGTTCAAAACGACGGCATTCCAATTAAAAAAAAAAGTTTGATTTTGTCTCGCCGTTAAGGTGTTAATGACGTTATTCGTTTGTAGAATTATGAATGTACAGTTATGGAATTATGAATATACAGTTATGGAATTATGAACACAGAGCTCTGACATTATGAACTTACAATTATGAACATATAGTGATAAAATTATGAACATAGAGCTCTAAAATTGTGAACATAGAGCTTCAAAAATTATGAATGTATAGTTATTGAATTATGAATGTACAGTTATGGAATTATGAACATACAGTTATGGAATTATGAATACAGAGCTCTGACATTATGAACTTACAATTATGAACATATAGTGATAAAATTATGAACATAGAGCGTCGAAAATCATGAATTTACAGTTATTAAATTATGAATGTACAGTTACGGAATTATGAATGTACAATTATGAAATTATGAATGTACAATTATGGAATTATGAACACTGAGCTCTAACATTAATACATTATGAACTTACAATTATAACATATAGTGATAAAATTATGAACATATGCTCCTATAACGAAGCGGTTTGAAATTTAAAAAAAAAAAAAAAAATTGGTGGAAGATAATGGTGCCACTTACGGCACCGTTCCGTGTCCACAATGTATGCTGAACACGGGTCCATAGCATAACGATTGCATTATCACTTACTAAATCCCAGAATTATGTAAACATTGGGATGTTAAGAGCAGAACCACACATGAAATTGGTTGATTTCCATTTTCCAGTGTGCAGATTAGAGCAGAAAGAGTGGATCTGTTTGGATGTTTTAAGGGGATTGCCTTTGCAATATAGTGATTAATGAACATAAAAGAAAAACTTCAACTTTCAACATAATCTTCCAACCTTTTCTCTTTTTACAAAAGTGGTAGAAGGTGGATGAATCCCAAGAAAAGAACACAAAGGTCTATACCAATGTGCTTGCAAAAATATGGCAAGGCCAAGAAGATTGAAGGCATATATATCTTTGTGGTGTCTTAGCCTCTTAGGCTGGAGCTTTCATCTGTCTACGCGGGCTCATATACAGTTCCCGGGCTTTATCTCTGGTTCCTCTGAATCCCGGAGATGGAGATGCATTCAGGGCTCGTGTCGAAGGGGTAACTCTTGCTGGAGAGGATAGTTTCAAGGGATGCATTGGTGAAGAAAACGGCGATGATGCAGTCTTCAAGGCTCGTGTCGAAGGAGTTACTCTTGCTGGGGAGGATAGTTTCATGGGATGCATTGGTGAAGAAATCGACGATGATGCATGGAGCCCCATCGAATTCGATCTTGTCATCAGCCTTGCAGGCGAAGCCCCGGGCGACTTATATTTGTTCTTCCCTGTATTCAACATTCTCAGAACATGAACTAAAGTTCTAAAGCTAGCAGAGAGATCAAGAAAATATGATGAAAAGTTAAACTAACCGTGTTCTTTGCTTGATTGTTCGCCTTTGAAGTTAGGGTGGAAGATAGCATTCTTGAATGATAGTTTCGGTTTGGTTGGCTTTAAAGTGATTGCTGCTTTATGAGGACTCTCAGGAGAATTTGAGGATTGGCTGTTTGCTGCACTGAGAGTTTTCTTTTCTGGGATCTTAGTTAGTCTGAATTTGGTTTTCATGGTTCTCAGGAGTTTCTTTCGTGTCGATTCAGGTTCTGATGAATCCTTCTTCCCCGTGGCCTCAGAGCTTATCTGTTTCTGTTTCTTCTCTGCAGAATCACAGGACACAATCCTCGGTTGAACTTTCGGTTTTGAAGCCACCCTCTCCAGGCTCAATTTCTTACTGGTGCTTGTAGATGAAAGGTTTTTGTTTCCCGGGGTCTCGACGTGAGGCGAGGTTTGGTGATCGGGTGGCAATTCGGATAGAAGCTTCCACTCGGGGGTATCGACGAAAGCTGGAGATTCATCAGCTGTGTTTAATAGATTGTCAGACAGGTCCAGAATGTTATCAGACAATAAGAGCTTAGGTTGTAAAATCTCAGAGATTGCAGATCTTTGATCTGCAAAGGTTCCCAGGTCATTCCTGTCAATGATTTCCGAGCAGGTAGATAGTCTTCCTCGGGTTCCGTTGTTTGGTACGAGGCAGAGATCATCCATGGAAACGAGATGGTCGTCTCTTGCCCTCACTGCAAACCCATCATTCCCTAAAGTTTTCTCCTTCTCAACAAGCTTATAAGCAAACATCTGGAAAGGGATTTCTGAAACTCCCGGGGGGACGTTATCTCCCGGGAACTTCTTTATGTACCCGGCTTCAATGTCACAATAATCTACGAGAGGCGGGGGGCAATCGGGGTGCCCGTGCTCGGGGTTTATAACGAGGACCTTCTTGATGTAACGCAGGATCCTGCAGACGGAGGAGAAACCGGGGCGGGCATTTGGCGAAGTGTGCCAGCATTTTCTGATCAAGTTTGTAAGGTACTTAGGCAAAGGGTATGGGAAAAGAGGCCTCTCCCCAGCCATCAAACTGTGCACCATTTTGTCCCCTTGAAGAGGCCTCTCCCCTTCTTCGAAAGGCGCTTTCCCGGTCAGAATCTGGAAACACAACATCCCGAAACTGTAGACATCAGCTTTCTCTGAGAATTTCGCCCCGCTTTTGCTGCTCCCCCGGGGCTGCTCTTGCTCCGCCAGAACCTCCGGGGCATACCATATCACCGGATCAACTCCTCCACTAGCTCTCGGGCAGTTTCGAAACGTGTATTGGCTTTTCATCATAGATAAACCGAAACCGGAAACCTTTGAATGGAAATATGTCTCCCCTGGGGAACTCATTGGCCTTAGAAGAATATTTGATGGGTTCAATTCTCCATGGAAAATGTTTCTTGAGTGTAAATACTCCATCCCTCTTGCAATCTGAAGCATAACATCAACTGCAACCGGGATCGAGAACGACATTCGTTTCCTCTGACCCGAATTCTCCTTTATGTGCATGTCCAAACTCTTGCTCATTAGCTCCATTACAAGAAACCCTTCTTTCCTCTCCTCATCATAGAATCCACAATGGTATTGCAGCACATTCGGGTGCGAGAGCGACATAACCGTGGCGATCTCGGGCCTAAGCGCCCCGATTTCTCCATAAAACGTTCTCAACGCGAAGCTCTCCCCGAGCCACTGCACCTCCTTGAGGTGGCTCCCGGGGGTCCCTATCCGTCGTTTCACACAATAATCATTGGCTTCTAACAGCAGGGAAGTAGGCAAAAGATTGGCAGGGGGAATGGGAGCATGATTCGTGTCCGGTCTATCCACCTTCTTGATCAAATCCTCCACGAGTTTCGTCTGTTTCTTCTGCCTCAACGCCTCGAGGAGGATCCACCGGTCCTCGTTCCACACGCTCTCCAACCGGGTACACATCTCCCGGGGGACTAAATACTGGCTCCCATACTTCCACTGGAACAGCCTCGCCTCGTTCCACTCTGCCCCGTACTTTCTCAAGAGGGCAACCCTCCTCTTCTGCATGTCCTCGTCGTTGAGCCCCGAGACCTCTGCAGCCGCCTCAATGGCCTCGATCACCACCACGAAGCACGACACCACGTTGTGAATGTGGAACTCAACGCAATCCCTGCTCGAGTGCAGGCTGATCGCCTTCCCCATCCAGCTCCTGATGTCTATACAGTTCTTTATATACGATTCGGATTCCTTGATGATCCAATGCAGCTCCCTCAGGGGACGCTCGAGTGGCTTCCATTTCGTGCTCCTCTCGTCCAACCTTAAATTCTGTCTGATCTCGTCACAGATGTTGTCGAACGCCTGCACACAAACGTCGAATAGGAGACAGCATTGCCTCTGGTTGATTAAAACGTCGTGTTTTAGCACCATTAAGGCCTTCATGCTCCCCACAACCTCCCCAATCTGCCGGAATTGATCCATTTTTTTGTTTTCTGGGCTTGTAAATAAAAAAGGCTTCAATTCAATATAACCTGAAATCAAGAAATCATAAAGGGAAAAATGGGAATCTGCAAATTGCAATGAATAACAATAACAATAACAATAAGAATGAAGATGATAAAAGGATGAAGAAGGTACAATTTGAAAACAAAGAAAATGCTGAATTTCTATCAACCCAATAGAAGCCCAGGAAAAGCCATCAGGGATCAGATGCAGAATTGATTCCCCATTATGAATCCTTGTTAATATGATCAAAGGATCTAATAAAAACTGATTGATGCAAAAGCTCCAAGAACAGTAAATTATCGCTGGGAAATTGAGTTTGGTTGGTGCAAAAGTTGAACAAAACAAAACAAAACAAAAACAAAAACAAAAAATGCAAAAGATTTCTTGTTTCAGAAATCTTTGATTTTCTGTTTCTGTTTCTGTTTTTTTTTTTTTAATTTTTGCTTCTTCTCTTGTCTGCCCAACCTAAAGCTTATGGATCTTTGGAAAGTTGTTTAAATACATTACCGCTGATTTC